CTCCTGCCTCCTCCAGCAGGCAGGGCTCATGCCTTAGCCTGCTGAGACAGCAGGTGGGATGTATTAAAAGTCACCATTTGCTTGCTTTATTCCCATCTACCCCTGGAATTTCCAGCACAGCCTGGGGGAGGAGAGAAGCTCATTTCTGCAGGCTGAACACCCTGCTTGAAGGACCTGGAAATTTTAGTAAGTGAGTTTTAGACTCAGGGACACTGCTCGGTTCCTCTGCAAGTGCCAACTCTAGTCCCTAATGGGCATTTTTTCATGTTGAAAAAGAAACCCAGGGTGGAAAAATACAATTTGATCTACTCATATTTGGCATTCTGTCCATTGCAAGAGTCTGAGGCGAGGGTTCAGAGCAGCATGGGAAAACGCAGATGTACGGCAAAGTTTGCACAGCGGCTATGACTCACTGACTGAGCTTACTTCTTTCTTCTTGTTTGTGCTAATGGCCTGTGCTCCTTCCCCCAAGGTTAAAGCCACAACATTCCCATTTAGAGAGCTGGAAACAAAACATACGAATCCTTCCATGAATTTTACAATGCCTGTTTGTTCTGGATCCCGTTTGTTTTCTTCAATGTACTGTTTCCACATATAACTTGCCAGTTTTGAACAACTTTGTTGCTATTTTTTTATCTACAGGATTGCATGTCTTGCTGAGAAAATTAAGCTACATCCTCTTTTGTTCTGTAAAACACTTGTACATTTCCTATGTAGCAAGATCATTCAAAGTACCAGAATGAGAAAACTAGTTCTTCAAAGAAAGTTATTCTCTCATCTGGGCTTAGTCTTCATCTCTGTGGAGTTGGTTCATTCTTCTCCTTTTTCTCATGTAGTTCCCTTTGGATAGTTAATTTGAACCCTGCTCAATGCGGCTGAGATTTGTATTAAGGCATCCATTCAAGAGTTTAACAAAGGCAGGCAGTGTCTTCCAGTTTCTTTCCCAGATAAAGCAAAACTCAATAAACCTCCAGCATACTCTGTATTCTCTCTAAAAAAGTGATGCTATTGTTTAGTTTGGCTCTTACTGAGTTCTATAATAATGCCAGGAGATGTATTTCTTGTTTCAGAGAAGATTTAAGCTTTCAACTAGAAGAGCCTTCTAGTTTGACCCCTCTCCTGGTACAAGAATACCTAGAATTGTATTCAGGATTTGAGAGTTACATAGCCTAAAGCTATCACTGGAAATATGTTTATCCCTGTAATCCAAGAAATAGTTGACAGCTGTTTCCTCCCTCCGGCCCTGCAGGAACTGCTCCGTGGCAGACCTCTCTTTGTCTGTGTTCAAATAAGTGAGCTGTCATCTGCCACTAATGCGAGAGACCGCAGCCTGCCTTGGCAGCTGTAGTATGTCAGGCTTCTCAGGATGCCTCATCTCATTTCTCATGTGTCGGGGGGCTGAAGGCAAGCACTGGACAACTACATTCTGGTTGGGACGGCTGGTGTGGTCGTGAAGAACGTGCCGTGTTGCCTGTGAAAACACGGCAGCTTATGAACTCTAGAGAGTTCGTAAGAGAAATTCACTGTATGTTATCACCCAAATCCGTTATGGGAGGAACCTGGGTCTGCCTGCAGATCCAGACTAGTGGCCAGAGGGGCACAGAGACCCTCTGCCCCGGCTCTGGAGGAGCATGCTCTGACCGAGAGCCTGCCTTGATGCATCTCTTGCTGTCTAACACCAGGCTCACACAGTACTGTTAAACAAAATAAAGTAAAATAAATAAGGACCTGCATGAGGAAGGCTGGAAGTAGAGGATTACTTCCTAAAGCCATTAGTATGACTTCAATCTAGGTAGGTATTTTATTTCTGAGGCAAATTTAAATCTACCTCTACCTTCTTTCCCCTCAGACTGGTGGAAGGAAGGTTGTGATAACAAAAGCTAGAAAAACTTTTGAGGAAAATTCTGAGGCTTGGGATACCTAGTTTTTAAGTAGGTCGCCATAGTGGTGCCCATCCTCGCACAGAAATATGTCCTGTGGGATTTTATTAGAATGTTTTTAGCAACTTAGTGGGATTACTTGAAGATTTAAGGATTCTTTAGCATGAGGAGAAACAATAAGGCTGGGCCCAGAGAAATTAAATGTTAGTGGGAGCCGAATATAGTAGTAGGGCTGCATAGCTTTGTGCCCCTAGTAGTGAGGCTGAAAGTGTATTCCCAGCCCTGCATGCACAAGCACACATGTACAGCGTGTACATGTGTATATATGCAGACAGCCACACAGATCAGCACAGACAGATGCAGTTCACATTCACATAAACAGCACCAGTGGCCTCATCCTATTCCCCTTTCAGGCTGATCACAATGAAGTCTGTTATTGCAATATATATAAATAAAATAAGATATACATATAAAATACATTTTTCCAGTAATGTATTCATATATATATGTGTATATTTTTATAACATCAAATAATATATATAATATAGATATTTCAGAAATGGAAGTAAAATTCTAGTGTGGATCAGACCCTCAGCCCGCCCAGTAGCTGCCCCTGTATCCCAGTCTCCCCAGCTGCTGGCACCTGGATGTACAAACCCCTGAGGCTGCACTTCCACTCCAGTTGCTCGTATGGCGTGAGATACAGCGCATCTCGCACGCACACACACACAGTTCCCCGGCTGTCGGCCAGGACCACCCTTGTCCCTGCGATGGCCGTGAGACAACAGGACAAGTGATGAGATGCAGGGCATGGCCAGGCAAAGAGTACTGACACCTGTTTACGTGCAAGAGGCCCCTTTCTATCTCTCTACCCTTCAGAGAGTGGCACCAGCAGAAAAACTTTACACCAGGACTGTTAATTCTGTGTATGGACTGACCTCATACGGTCGATCCTCTGACCGTATGAGGCAGCTTAAGGCACAGTCAGTGTGGCCACGTTACTAGCTTGCAGCTTGGGTAAATAAAATAAAATCACTGTGCTGATTCTGGACCTAATCTTGGGCAGAACTATATATAAGGATTGGGTACTAATTCAAGGATTGTTTTACCACGTTTTTGTGCGATGTAGGTATGTCCAGAGAGTCACGGTACTGATGAAACTCATTAGAGCAAGATTCAGCCTGTTCCGAAATGAACATCTAGTAAGTCTAACCGAGCAGGTCATCAGTCAGCTATTGCTAGGAAAAGGGTGGAGTCAAACTGTGTTTCCATAAAGTGTTGAAACTGTGAATGTGGTTTACAGCAATGGAAACAGGAAGGATATTTTTAAAAAAATAGCGGTCTAGTAATTGATTCTGCAAGGGGAGCCACAGAAGAGAAGTTGCAGTGCTGACTGTAGGACAGATGTGCATGCTTTTTGATAGAAGTAAACTTCAATCATTTCTGTTATAATCAGAAATGAGGGGGGGGAGTGAGATTTCTTTTCTTTTCTTTCCTTCTGATTGAACTGCATTTTGAACAATAACCAACCCCTGTTTTGGGGGGAGTGGGAACTGTTTTCAGTGAAACATTCAAATGCAAGGGAAACAGACACTAAATATAACTGCATCACTTCTTATTCCTTAATAATTTGAAATGGAAATACTGTGGTCAGTTCTCTGAACGAGCAAGTCTCAGCATGCAAGTTGCTGCTAAAGCAGGTAGGCTCAGTGCTCTGCTGACCCCTCCGCTGTTCTCTCTCGGCTCATTTTCTGTAGGCCCTGGGAAGCCCAGGGGTCAATGGGCTCAGACAAGAATTTTCCCTTAGTCCCCTGGGTATCAGCTGTCACTCTGAACACTGGTTTGGCTTGTGTCCCTCCACTGCATTGTTTACTGGTCCCCAAGGGGCAAAGAATCAGAAGAAAAGTATTTCAGAGGAAAGAGAGAGTGTTTAATCACTAGGTACCTACCTGCCTTCTCCCATGGTAATAACTTCCACGTAGGGACCCCCTCACCTCCTGCAGCATATGACAGATAAAATTCATTCCGTTTACTTCCAGGACACTTCTTTAACACAATTTCAAGACAGCTTCTGTCAGAAGTTGCCTAGTCCTTTGGTCCCCTTCTCTTTTGCCAGGAACAAGTCTTTAATTTCTTGCAGCTGATGATGCAATGACTCTTACAATTCAAGGAGGATGAAAGCAATGCCATATAATGATAACCTGATCCTGCACATGAATAACTGGAGCATACCTATCAGCTTCTAGGCTTTCACTGACTGGCTGCAATAAGTTGCAAGCTTTCATCCCTGAAGGCTGGGAATGAAAACATCATAGATAGTGCTACCCAACTATGCCCGTTGTCTTTCACGTACAGGATTGAGGTATTCTTACCTGATGCCATTGCCATCTCTCTTAAAGTGTTATGAAATTTTCATATGACGGTATTCTTTAAATTAAAAAAGAATGTTATTATGAAGAGATACCATGTTTGTCAAAACTTCCATGTGTCTTGCAACATTTCCATTATGGACATTTTAAGTTCTTGTCATGTGGAGCCTAGGTACACTTCTTAGACCTACAGTAAGCAGAGTGGGGATGACTTTCTCTTGCACTGCTCTTTATGCTATGTCACCCTGATATATTAGTGGAGGAAATGAAGTGCTGGTAGCAGTGGGAATGCAGTCCTACATCTGTAAAAATACTACTTACTTAAGTGACTATAGTCACTTAAGCACATGTGCACACAAAATACATGTGCTTCCGAAGATCTGACATGTCTGCAGTCACATTCTGTACTTCTGTTCCACCCAGCTTGCCCCAAACACATCTACATCCTTCACAGCTTTGAAGTCTAGGGTGGAACAGATGGTATGTTTGGGTTGGGGTTTTTTTACTATGTGCTTTTTCTTTTCCCCTTGAATTGCATAAAGATTGCTTTTTGCACATTTTTCAGTCTTCATTTTGGCTTTAGTATGAGTAACAAATTAACAGACATTTTATTTGCATTACAGACTTCAGCCATAAAACAGGTCTACAAGGTTTGTTGTTTGGTGCCAGGAGAGCAGGGAAGAAGGAACCTATTGTTATTCCTGAAACATCTACTTTGGGAAGCAAGAGAGATTTTGCTACCTTTTTATGTAGAAAATGTAAATTGACTCTACTAAGAGAGCACCGTTCCTTACAAGCAGTGTGGCATAGATAAGTTCATAGTACTTTCAGTTCGCAAACCTCTCAAAAGATGGCATTTCATTCAATATTTTCCTTTCAGTGACAGCCCTGACAGCCAGCTTGCCAGGCTAACAACGCCATCCTCTTAGCACACTGCGCTCATAAAGCAACTCAAGTTTCAAGGAGTTAACGGCTCGGTGTCTGACTTCTAGAACAGTGCAAGTTTAAGACTTTTTGCTGCAAAATAGCAAAACATGAGTCATTGCTGTTCTGTAGCCAACAGTCCAGCAGGGACCAGCGTTCTTCATGACGGTAGGCTTAACAGCATTGGCAGCTTGCTATGAAATCAACTGGCCTTGCATTATACTTCCTGGAATGCTAAGCAGAAATTTCATTACTGATGTAGCTCAGGGAAAAACCTGCCCCCTTCTCCCCCTACAGTGTTTGACACAAGAATTTCCTAACAACCAGTGATGGAAAAGAAGTAACATTTGACTTTTGAGTGCATAGCTTCTGCAAGTTCTGGTCTGCGCTCCTGCCCTCTGTGCTGCCTGTTCCACCAGATCCGTTGCAGATTATCAGAATCTCCTCCTTTCTATCAGGTTCCTTAATGGTTCAACAGAAAACAAGGATTATTTCTTTGGCAAACATCAACCTTAGAGACCCACAGGCATGTAGTACTACATCACCGGCCATAGTCATAGTCCTTATACAGCTGTGGTCAGTGAAAGCCTTTAATGAAGGCGCTGGACACAAGAACTCCTCATAGCAGCAACTCCTTGGCATGTGTATTTGAGGTGTCTGACTGTAGTACCCTGAGTTAGAATGCCTTAGATGGACATCCACAATGGCTCAAGTGCTAAGTAAGAACCACTGAAAAATAAATGCACTCAGAAATTTGAAGTATTAAATGCTGATGAGAACATGGAAAACTGGAGGATGTAATTTTTCTTTGGTTTGCTTGGAGCTGTAAGGGAATATCCTCATACACCTGCATGCACAGGTGGGAGGCCTCCCTGTAGAAGAGGTCCCTGTGCCCTTTAGCTCAGAAAATCTGGCAAGGCTCTCTTAAGTCTTTTCAAACATGTTCCAAGAGGGAGGAGCTGCCAAAATCTGTATGTAGAAGCTTAATGGCAGGAGCACTCATCCAAGGTGAGGGAGATGTGTCTTCACTACCTTCCAGGGTGAAAGTTACAGAAGGTTGTGGGCAGAAAAAAAATGTAAACTCAGTGTGTTACATTGCCAGATGATTTCTTTGAGGACTAAAGGGATTTCTGCCCCAACGCGATCCAAATGCTGTGCCACACACAGAGACCTCTCTTGTCCAAAGTTTTTTCCAACTTCAAAATTGTAAAGTTTTAACTTCAGGTGAGAATTAGTGGGTGGTCCAGTTGCCTGATCTGTTGGTGATAGTATATCACTCTTCATCAGCTCTGTCCTACCAGACGAGCACCTTGCTGCAGGGATCTTCCCTGAACGGGATGAACTCTACCTGGTTCTACAGCTGTTTCGCGGGTTGCCTGCCCAGGCTTTGTGCCAGGCTGTGCCGGCCATGCAGTCCCTGGCGCTCCGGCAGAGGAACTGATGGACCACCTTTGTGTCGAGCAGAACTCAAGTCACCGGTGGCATTAGATGCTTAAGAAAAAGCATGGGACTAATTAGTAACTGAGTAGCAACAGCTATTGCAAAACAATAAATATTTGGTAAGTTGCATGTACTACCACGTTACCTACATTTGAAAAACTCTTTTCAGTAAAAAGACTCTTTCTCCATGTTTCCAGAAGTTCTTGCCAGCTATTAACAGAAGATCTTGCTGGCCAGGCTGTAAGTGAGCGACACTTCTGTGTTCATGTCATGATTCCACAGCAGATTTCTTTTGTCTTTCAGGAAAGGATGTGGCTGACCGATGGTACAGCGAAATAAAAAATTACAGCTTTCAAAACCCAGGGTTTTCTTCTGGGACAGGTAAGTTCAGACTGGGCACTGTTTCTTCAACAACACAGATTTATTTTAAGAAATTGGCTAGCCAACTTGTTTCGGTATTTTTCAAAAAAATACCTTTAATTCTTTGAAAAACACTAGAGGGTGAAAAAAATTAGAATTTCCCCAAAGTTTTATGTTAGAAACTCACAAAAGGGTAAAAGAAACTGAGAAATGAGGAAGTAAGCAAAATTTGTTTTGTTTTGTTTTGTTTTGTTTTTATATTGTATTTTTCTTTTGACTCCAAAGTTTTTAAAAGGCAACTTATTTCTAAGGGAAATTAATTTGTAGAAAATACTACATTGGAATCATATCTCTTACTAAATGTACTGTGCTGTTGTTTACATTGCAATGTGTCCTCTACCAAGTTATATCACTCCAATCACAGAGAAAACTTCAGATGTAATTTAGAGATCAGCCACAGGCAATTGACTGCATATTGACAATCCGGTGTGGAATGAACATGAGAACATTGTTCCTTGAATAACACTCAAGCAAGAGATGTGCCTGAGCTGGTTTCAGATGAAGAGACTCATGGGTTTCTCCCGTGGGATTTGTCTATGCATAGAGGGAACAACTGACAGAGTAGCACAACTCTGTCAGTGGCGACTGTAACGACGAGGCAGAAGCAGCCACAAAACCAGTATTATTTTGAGCAGTTGCACATGCAGACACATGGGGGAGTATGAGATGGTCAAAGCGAATGAATAGTAGTCACTGTCAGAACTGCTGTTCCTGCTGCAGGGAGCGAAGACCATGATGTCTCTGTTGACTTTTATATCAGATACTCTTCAAACTATTTCTGTCATGATTCTCTTACTAGATATTCTTCCTTGGCTATAGGACGTGGAGCTGGGAATAGTAGCGTGGAATCAGATCAGATCAGGCTTTTTCAAGACAAAATGCTCGATGTAGTTTTCTTTTCACATCCTTATCTTGTTCTCCTGTTAGAGAAAGAAAGAGTTTTGTATTGTTCTTTGTTTCCCTGCCCCTCACATGTTAAAGGGAATGGTATAGGTTTAGTACCTAAAATGAATGAATGAATGAATGAATATGTTTATCTCTCTCTTTTCAGGCCATTTCACAGCAATGGTTTGGAAGAACACAAAAAAGATGGGTGTCGGAAAAGCATCTGCTAGTGATGGCTCTACGTTTGTGGTGGCTAGATATGATCCAGCTGGAAACGTAGTGAATCCAGGCTATTACGAAGAAAATGTCCTTCCTCCAAGAAAATAACTCTTTTTTTAGAGGTAGTCTTTTTGCTTAATGACAAGTGAACTTGGATTTGGACATAACAGTGTTTGAAATGAAGTATGATTTAATGAAATTTCCTGTTTGATACTGCTGTTCACTTCTCATTACGGAGGAAGCAATTACATGTTGCTTGAGTTGATCTGCACACTAGGTCCCTGTTGTTTCTGAGGGGGCTTCAGTCTATTTGAGGATGAAGTATATGCAGCATTTCTGAAGGGTAAAATTTGTAAGGGTGGTTTTTTTTAATAGTTTGCATGAACTCGGTGTCAGCATGTGAGTAAGCACATGTCGGATGTCTTTTTTTAAACAAGCAAATTTATAGCTTTCTGTAAACTGAAGATACCAGCTTGTAATTATATCACATACTCCCAGTTTTCCAGTATTTTTTCATAACTGTAACTTCTTTGCTCTATCTATACCTCCTGCTACTGTGGGGCCTTCTCTCTGCAGATGGAATATATGCAAAACTTCCTGTATGAAAGGTATACATGTAAAATGTAGTGGCATTCAGACCTATGTGTTTTTATTAACATGATCTCATGGAACACTAAAACGTTGCTGGCAAAATTGTATCCATCAAGTAAGCCATAACTAATGCATGACCTGAAAGCTACTAAAATTGTTTAAATCCCAGCATTACATTTTAAGTGCCAATATTTAAAATCTATTTGAGATGAGTGTGTTTCAAGTTCAAACTCCATCTTACAGTTTACACTGTGTACATTGTCTCATAAGTATGTACATTGTCTTATAATCAAATATTTTACTTCTGTTACAGAAAAGTAAGATACTACTTTTTCTCTTAGATATTTATGCACAAAAAAAGGTTCTTTGATGGAGCACATTGGATTTTATTTCTCAATAACTTATTCTTTTTTCCTAAGGAATATCTTCTGCAGGTGTCACGCTATACAGACAATAACATTCCCAAATCCTTTTGTCTCCTTTAATAATGTCACAGCAGGAGGTATTCACATGGTCATAATTAAGAGACATTTACTCTTTGTTCATATAGTTCAATAATAGTAAAAGTATTTCACGCGCTGGATTGATGCTTTGAAAAAATTCAGATTGCATTTCCTTAAAAGCAAGCAAGCAAAAACCTTGAGGACACTTTTTTCTCTTATGAAATGTATGTTGGGCCATTTTGGCCAGGTTCATATACTGTGCTTCAATTTGGGATTTTCTTTTCTTTGTAAATGTTTCTTTTGACTTCTGCTGAGATTCTGTATACCAGAATTTGGTTCATGAGGAGTGCCATTACAGAAACACTTCTTTTTGTTTACACAGTTGTAATAAACTGCACTGTTACAGCTTGATTATATGTCACTGTGATGCTGTATGTTACAATCTTTTTGCTGTAACCAAGAATTTAACACATATAATGAACATCTGAAAATTAAATATTTTTGAATATGAATTACTCAAGCCTTTGCTGTTACCCGAGTCTTTGTTGAATAATCTTCAAATCTTAGTTCCAAGATATGTCATCATGCAGCAAGTATTCTAGTCCAGGAAAGAAGAGACCTTCTAAGAAAGGATAAATCATACAGCAGATCGTACATCATCCCTTTATATGAAGATTGAGCTAGCACTTGAAGCTGAAGAGGCGTACCTCTTTCTCTCTTGAACTCCTGCTTTGTATCTCATTTAATCTCGGCTGCTCCCTCTCTCGGTTGGCATGTTCTCGGTACAGAATGCCCACTCAACTCCCACTCAGGCGCATGTTTCAGTGACTGCAGTCTCGGGGCCTTCCCCTCTTCAACCCTCAGCTGACAAATGTTGCCACTCCAAAGAGACTAATGTTTCACGTGCAGCGCATTACGATCCCTGAGAATGAAAACAGGACTTTCTAAAAAAGAGAATAGGCTTGCTTCAACTGAGGTAAAAGTTGATGTTTGTTAAATAAATTAACAGTTTTAAAATACTCTATTTTTTTCCTAAAGGCATGGCTGCTATTGGCCCTATAATTCCTTGAATGGTTGGTGTAAAACTGTGTATGTCCTAGTTGAGTCAGTCAAGTCAGAAATTTTCTCTGTTGACACCTAGTTTTTCTTCACATCAGAGGGAACTGGGAAGGTAGGTAAAGAGAGGACAATACAAAAAAAGAAAAAAAGAAAAAAAGCTTTATTTAAATAGTTAATAGTTATCTTTATTTAAAATGATAGTGGCAAGTGAACTTCCAGACCTTTTCAGACAGAGCATTTTCAGAGGTAATCAGGCATGGAAGAAGCACGAAGTCACTCAAACAGACTCCATGCATGCTTCATGCACTCCACAGAGATTCGATGCAAGGAACTATGATTGCAACAATTAAAAACAAAAACCTGTCAATTTAATTCTTCATGATCCAAGATCACGATGTTGATGCCTTCTGCAAATGACCTCTGGCTGCACAGTAAACCATGGCGTAGGTAGGCATCCAAATGCAAAGGGAAGGGTCTCATTGCTGATGTGACTCACCCAGAAGCCACATGAATTTTGGGAAGTGTACACTGAAACCTGACTTACCAGCCATCTGTATTAAAAGACTCAGTGTAGGTGTATTGCTCCACTCCCCACCACATCTTGGAGAGTTGTGGAGATTGGGAGGTGGTGATGAAAGGTTACTGCCTGTCATGTTAGAGCAGAACAAGGTGTTTAAGAACTTCCTCAGCCAGGGCTTTACACATAGAAGTCACATCTGCCCTCGGAATAAAGAAAAGGCTGATCTGACAGCTTTGATACCAGAGAAAAATACATATCTTTAAAGGCCTGCAGATGGCTTTTAAGGTCTTTTTTGCAGCAGGAGAAGGAGGAGGAGGAATTCTAGCTGGTCAGAGGCTTCATTTTCAGTCTTCTGTGTTAAATAATAACAAAACACTTAGGGAAGAACTGGGACTGGTCTTCAAAAAGTGCTAAAAAAGGGAAGCTTGCATTAACACATTTTAATTTGCCAACTTCCCTCCTTTATCTACCCAAAAGGACAAAACCCTGGCAATTCCTCCTCCAAAAAGTGGCAGATGACATTGAGAAGTGGTAGAAGTACTGTAAGAAGAAGACCACAGATCAGACAGAAAGCCACATCACATGAACAATAATAATAAGCCCATGGGCAACAAGGATGCAAGCATTTGGCTCAAGTCTTGCAAATTGTATGTGGAAGTGCTTCGCTTTTGGGGAGCTCAGCCACTCTACTTGTCTGCAACTTTAATTTTTCAGGTGGAAAAATTCTCCAACAGAGAAAAATTTGCCTCCAACAGAGTGGTTGACTTGTTTGGGTCAGCTGCAGAGAAGTCATGGCAGACTGGTGGGCTCCTGACCTGCAGGCTTTTGCAGAGTGTCACAGGTGCCCGAAGAACATTTTTAGATTTGTGGGTATCTCTGACTTTGACAGCCTTTTTCTTTTCTTAGTATTTAAAGGCACTTTTCCATGTGACTGGTTTTAATGCTAATTTGAGCTGTCTTTTCAGCATCTGCTTTCTTACCTTCCTATGATATCCAAGCAGCCAACTGCAAAAAAAGCCAGGTATGACTTCAGCTGAGGTACTGGACATCTTAAGGTTAAGAAAATAAAACTTTTGAGAAGACAAAGTGCTTACTGGCATTTCATTTGCCCCAGGGTATGAAAGTTGTTTTGATCTGCATTAGAAAGCCCAGAACATGGTAATGTGAACTGGTCTGTTGGTTACAAACACTAACGCTGCTGGCCTTGTGGTCGCAGTACACGCACATGCCACGTCTTCTCTCCCGCAGAGGCTTTCTGAGGGAAGGGCTGTGTGAAGGTGGCAACTGGAGGCTGCTTGGCCCCAAGCAGAGTGGAAAAGGGGTTTGAGATGACACGAAGAAAGCCAGTGAGCCAAAGCCACCTCCCTCCCTTGTTGAACCTGGCACTAGAAATCTCAGAAAACTGCATTTCTAGGGAGAATGCAGGAAAAAGTAAGGAGTCAGGCTGCTCTGGTTATTACGTGGTAGGAATGTGAATTTTGAAAATGACATCATTACTTCTGTCTCCTTCACACAACCTAAAGACCAAAATACCTGTCTGCATGTCCAGCTCCACAGTGAGCAGTTGCATCCTTGTATCACCTTTCCCAAAACACAGCAGGAGATGGTGGGCCTGAGTTTTAGTGCCTTTCAGCTCTCTGTTTGCCTCTCTGGGGAAATCATGGGTTAATTTCTGCTCCCCATAGCTCTGCACATCAGGCTGTGGGTGAAGATTCCACTTTTTGAGGCAGGAACATAGAACAGGAGTCACACAAGGCCTGGGCTTTCCTATACAATCAGCCCTGAGCAAGTCACAAGCCAGAAAATAACCCGCTTCTTTAAGCTGCTAAGGAAGCCCTCTGTGAAATGTATTAAATGCTGAAAGCCAAGGAGGACCTGCGAGTCTCCAGCAGTGCCTGGGTTTAGCCTTCCCGTTCCCCCTCTCCCATCGCTCTGATGGTGCGTGCCCTGCCACCCTCCTGGGATGAGTGCCATCCCTGCACACCCACACGCCCCAAACAGTGGTCTGGGGCCCAATTGACCTCCTCGCTGCTGTGCTCCTCCCCACATACTTCATGGTTCCTCTGATCCTTCACAGAGAGTAGGGTCTTCTAGCTTTTAGCCTTGTAGAACCTAGCAGCCACTGTAAATCTACCTGATAAGGGTCCTCTTCTGAGCACGTTTACTTTCTTGAGCAGTACTGTCAGGGTCCTCCACATCCTCTAATGAGAAATTTTAACTTCTCTCCTTTTGCTCAAAAATGAATTCCTCTGGTTCTCCTGTCTAGGAGGATGCTGAGCAAGAAATGGGATTCCAAGAATGTTGTCATCGATGCAATGAAATTTATTTGGCTTTCAGTTATACCAGGTGAACTGTAAAGAAATAACACAGAAAAAGCAGACATGGATTGCACGGACAATATGCAGACTAGAATCTGAGACCTCATTTAACAGCAAACTAGGAAAAGCTGTAAACAGCTCTCTGAAGAGCAAGAGTACATTAAAGAATGGCCAGGATGCATAGCCTGCAAATCTGCCACGGCTGGGAGCAGCCTGCCTGAGCAAAGCTGTGCTGAGAGGTCCTCAAAGTCCAGGCTAGGGTTCATATCCTGAAAGGCTGTGAACTTCCAGGACAACGTCTCCCCTATCCCTCACCTCTGGGGTGCTCACTGATGTGTCAGGAGGGAAGTCTAGCTGGTTGTCCATTTTTTGGAGACAATCATGAAGGCTGCAGTCTCCCTGTTCTTCCTCACCCTCTGATGCCAAGTTAGCAGGGTAGCTGCAGGGACAGCTGGAGCACTTGGAAAAACCAGTCTCTAGTTCCACACCTGACAGTCCTGCTGCAAGGCCCAGTAAGGCCTGTAAAGCCCAGGGGCAGGATATCGCAGGCTTACAACAATAAATGTTGAGACATTAAATATCCCCTGTCTCCGCTAAGGCAGGCACAGCTACAAAATATGGTTAATGCAGTGTGTGCTGGAAAAGAAGAAGGAATAGTGCATTGCTACTCCATCATCTTGAGTGTGGAAAGATGCAAGCAGAGACAGGGTAGTGGTGATCACTGTGCTGCCATGCACGGGGGTCTCTGACAGATTTCCATCAGGGTCTTTCCTCCGCTTCTGCTTCACCCCGTCCGTTTTGTCAGAGACTTAATCTGTCTTGTTTTGATGACTACCTCCCAAAACCTTTTGAAGGGATGGC